GAATACATACATTTATAGGGCAAATTTGAGAATCTGAATTTAATGTTCATTCTAAAAGGCAGTATTCCTTTGAAAATATGTCATTACTCATATGCATATGCGGGCACAGCCTTGAATGTTGGTAGAACTAAATGCAAGATTTTCATTTTGGAAAATGCCAGTCAATCATATAACCATAATTCAGTTGTAGAAGAAGCAAGTCAGATTTTCACAAAACACAAGGCAATATTATGAAATAAGCACACTACTTATTTAAACACATGACAATCAACTTTTCAGCACAATTTACATGTGCCATCATCAGATGAAATAATGATGGAATAAAACATAACAAAATGTATAAATGGTAACCATTTAAGTCTTCCCTATTGTTTTAAATCGTTTATTTCCTAAATTTTAGCTCACTTTGGATAAGCTTATCTTCTCTTATTTAGACTTCTCGTTATTACTTTTATTACCCTCTACACTGTTAATCTCTTTATTTTTTTAGTTGCAATATGTTTTGTTAGGTTTTTTATTCTGATTACAACACATTGTTCGAAACGTTATCCGTGTAATTAGTTTATTAAAGAAATATGTTAAATCCATAATATTGCCTTGTTTCTGTTATATGTACGCCTCATTTCTAAATGCCGTTCAAGTATTATGTTTTCATTTTAAAAATTAAGATGACAATGTTCACTAAATCCCTTGTAACATACCCATGGCTTTTCATCTGAAGACTTGGTTCTTCTTATTGAGTACTCTTTGGAGGTCCCTCTTTTCATCTGTTGATCTTCCTTCAGCATTCTTCACTGACTTGTTCTTCATACTTCTTTCTGTTCTTCATCTGTTCTGTAGGCGCCGCTTCATCTGTTCTTCATCTGTTCCTCTTCATCTGTGAATAGGAGGTCTGAAAAGTCATACAGGCCATGACCTCAGAACACTCCTATTGTGGCAGTGCTATTGCGGGTAGGTAAATTACCAGACCATTTACCCTTTCTAACCTGAAGAATATAAATACATAATTGCAAATGATCAGATGACTACCATTTTAAGTAATTTGTTAAAAACAAAACAATGTGTGAGAGGCCATGAAACACCCTTAAAATAGAGATCACAATTTGGCGTCATCATTCTATATAGGGTCTTGATTGGCTGATTACTCATATAAATACCATGTATTTATTTTTGAACAAAAATATCATGATTCACAAAACTGTATCAGAGTGTTGCAAGATATTTCAAATTAAGAATATCAAAATGGTTTAAAATTACAGATTAAATATTTCTAAAACAAACTTGCCTTGCGAGCTTCTGTGCCACACCATAAGCACTTGACGTCTGTATAATGAAGCTCTATCTGTTTACACCTAAAATTAAAAATATACAACTTAGTTCTTTGATATGGCACATATGAAATAATTCAACAAATACATAAATCCAAACAGTTGATGGATTCTATGGAACAGTCTGTTACTCAGTAACAAGCGTATTAGAGCTTCGGAAACTTTACAGGAGGCTTGTGTAGTTAAGTCCAAACAATGGTGGTCATGAGATCAATTTCTATAGATCTGGCCGAAGACCAGCTAGTAGAATCTTATGATTATATACAAAGGTGAATGTGAGGACGCATATAAAAATTTGGGTTTGTGTTGTAGGGTTTTCCAAAAAAAAATATTATGTTGCTAATATTTACAGTGTGTTTATAATGACTTGTATAGCAACATCATATCCATGTTAGCTATTAAAATATCTTTACCTGGCTTCGTTCCAAGAGTCGCCTTTAGGACATTTGTGCTCCACCATAACCGTATTGACCTCCAAATGTAATGTCCTGTTGAAGCTAAAGACCAGCTCCTTTGTTCTTGGAACCCTAAAAGTCAAGATTCTTATTTTAAAAGTAGCTTTAGGAAGTTATGTGCAAACAGTAATAAATACTTTAGACCAAAGACTAGAGGAATATATCCATTGCCTTATCTGGAAGTTATAAGCAAAAAAATTAATCTTTCTGTTAATTCTATAACATTAAAGCTATCTAAAAGTAACCTGGTAATGAAAATCTTGAAAACTACCTCTTTAATTATGTATATCAAATGTGAATAACATCATTTGGCCAATATCTCTGCTCATGGACAATCAATTTTCAAAGGTCACTCTTGAATTGATTAGTTTTAAGCTCTTGCGTCCGAGACTAAATGACTTTTTGAATTTAAGCTTTTTACTGTGGTATCTGTCATTAGCCAGGCAAGTCATGCCTCTTGTAACACCCCTCTGCCAATGGAATTATCAAATATGTACCCATTTCAGAGAGAAAGATCCCATGGTAGTTTTTGCTTTTTCATTCCACAGTAGGGGGCTTGTTTTTGAAATGGATTTTAAGAGATCAATCAGATGATTGGAACACCAAAATCATCGTAAGTTAAATTTTCCAGATTAATGCTCCAGTACACCTTCAAGGGATACAGAAAATGAACAAGAATTTCAGGGTGGGTTTCACAAAATTTCACAGAATAGGAATTGTGATTTTAATTGAAATATGTAGGTAGGTACTGACCGTGCTACGTTGATCATCTAACTGTAAGTGGTGTATGTCAAACCCAATAGTAAAGACCGCTATCGAGTTCCCGCCGACGGCTGAAAAAAACAGAAGACAAACATTGTGTTGAGTCAAAATACCATATAATTTAGTATCTAAGGACAAATTCTATTTATTTCTGGTTTATTGGGCATGGTTATTGAACCATGGAATACGGAATCCACTGAATTTTTGAAAATTGATATATATTTCTGAAAATTCACACAGCTAATAATATCATGGTAGTATAATTTCAATACATCAAGATCTATGATAAACTTACAAAAAATGGGTGAAGGCATCGCCAAATCTGTTCCTCTTCATCTGTTCCTCTTCATCTGTTCTTCATCTGTTCCTCTTCATCTGTGAATAGGAGGTCTGAAGAGTCATACAGGCCATGACCTCAGAACACTCCTATTGTGGCAGTGCTATTGCGGGAAGGTAAATTACCAGACGATTTACCTTTTTTATCCTAAATATCAGACACAAAATATACTTAATTTTTCTTTAAAAAGACTTTCATTGAATGAAGATATTCATTGAATTTTGTTGCTTGGTCAAACGGCTTATTTGGTTTGGTTGAATTCTAAAGACCCTGGCCACAACTCTAACCTTTCTTTTATATCATTCATATAAAAACCATGTATTTGTTTATTTTTGAACAAAAATATCATTCACAAAACTGTATCAGAGTGTTGCAAGATATTTCAAATTAAGAATATCAAAATGGTTTAAAATTACAGACAAACTTGCCTTGCGAGCTTCTGTGCCACACCATAAGCACTTGACTTCTGTATAATGAAGCTCTATCTGTTTACACCTAAA